CATTAGCCACACATGCCCAGCATCCTGGAAAGCTCACCCTGGAAGCAGTTAGTGATCCCAGCTGAACCTCGTCTGGAGTGAGGCTGACATCCTGCAGAGCCTCTGGGGAGGAGCTATGGGACCCCTTAGGTCATCAGAAGAACCAGAGAAGAACCAAGTGAGAAGATCCCAATCCCTCCTCTGACCTATTATTACCCACCCCTCCCACCCCCAAAATATGAGGTCAGTCCCACAGCCTGCATATTAAGTAAGAATGATTTGCCCATCTTGTAGTCATGCAAAATGCTCAATTTAGCTGTCACTCACTGGCTGCCCTGCACTTTAGCTCATCCAGTCGTCAGAACATCTGGACTTTATAGACGAGGAGGGTCCCGGAAGTTAAAGACCCATCCAAAGTCACACAGCTGCTAAGAACTATGACCTTAATAAGATGTATCCATGATAACCAAGCCAACCAGTCAGCTGAAATCACCCATGCCAAAGCAAAAAAGCTTGATTTTTTTAATTTTTTAACTCCATGGTTTACAAAGTTGGCTGACTATTAGAATCACTTGGGGAGCTTTTTAAACATCCCAAAGACTACCTCCCAGGCCAAATAAATCAGAATCCCTGGGGTAGGACTCAAGCACTGGTATTTTTCAAACTTCCTCTGGTGATGCCAATGTGCAGCCAGCATTAAGATCCCTGGTGTAACCAGTGCAGTTTTAAAGGAGGGTGAGAAAGCTCAATCCAAGACTAGGAATGGGATTTATTAATAGTAATTGTTAAAAAAAACAATTACCGGGGTGGCCACACTGCAATTCCAGGGGCTCCGTTCATAGTTTGATCCACAGGAGGGAAGCCCTGGGGTTGTGCAGTGCACAGCCTGCCTTGCTGTATGTGTCTGCCCTGGAAGCCAACACTTAAGAGTCTTAGACTCAACTCCGTGCTAGGCACTTGCCAGGCACCTTGCAAGTATCACCTCATTTATTCTGCAACAACCTCATGGAGAAGGGTGCTGATCAAGAGCAGCTGTCACACCTCAACTCTGCTGTCCTAGTGGAAAGCAGCCATAGGCAATAAGTAATGAGTGGGCATGGCTGTGTTCCAGAGGGTTGGATTTGGTCCAAAGGCTACAGTTCACGGGCTCCTGCTGCAGAGGGTAGGTAAACTTGCCCAAAGCTGAGAAGGGGCAGAGCTGAAATTCAATCCAGCTCCTAATGGCTCCAACATCCTATACACCTAAGCTTCACTCTGCATTTCTTTGACAACCAGTGAAAGATATTCACAAGTCCCTTTCTCAATCCACCCGTTTCTCTCCCTTAACCATCTCTTCCTTTGGGCAGCCATCTTTTTTTCTTTTCAAAGATGACCTAATGCTCCCCTCACCTCACCTCTTTGCCCATCATAGCCACTTCCCCCAGAGTCTGAGACCTCTCAGGACACCCCAGCAGCCTGAGAGATCTGGCCAGAACAGCCCTGGGGGTGGTCCCCACCTGTGCTCAGGAGGCCCACCACAGCCCAGGAGCCCCCGGATTTTCTCAACCTAGCACCTGGCTTTGTTGAGCAGCCTTTTTTGTCCCAGCATCTTTGTGAAGCTCTTCCATGCAGAGGCCTCTTTTGATTAACCTAAGAGGCAGGAAGGCTGGCTAAGCAGCTCTCTGAGGCCTGCTCCCCCGACACACACAGGTCCACAAATCTCACACGATTGCTGGAGTTTGCTGGAGTTCAGCACACCAACTGGCAAAGGCAGAGGTTTTCCTAGCCTGCAGCTCTGGGCTAAAGGACTGACCACACCCTTCAGGATGCCTGCCCCTCTGCACTCCCCTGCCCTCAGGGAAACGCCACCCCCCACAGCCCACTGCTGATTTCATTAACAATAAAAAGGCCTGCAGCTGATCTTTGAGCAGAGCTAGTCACTAACTGGACCTAGGATGAAGGACTGGCTACATAATTTGCAGAGCCTGTGCACAATAGAAATGCAGGGACCCTCTTGGCACGACCCTACATGACTGAGCCCCACTCGGTGGCGGTGGGGCCTGGCCTCGGGGCGGCAAACCCATTGGCTTGCTGGTGACATATGGGTGAAGGGTCTCAGCCTGGCCAATCAGATGTTTTCCTCTGGAATTTAACGGGAGAGATAGACTTCCCATTGGCAGTAAAAGAAACCAAAATCATAAAAAATTTCCCAAACCTGCTGACAGTTTTTCCCAACACAGCGACGAGAATGACCTTTTTCAAATAGAATCAGACGCGATCTCTGCACCATTCGAACCCACCCATTCAGCCTCACTCCACTCGCCCCGTCCCTCGCTCACGCCACTCCCGGCACACTATGCCTTTTTGTTCCCTGAACAGACCAAGCTTGTTCAAGGTGCATGAGTCACATATGCTGTTCCCTCTGCCCCCACACAGCCCCCCTCCTCCTTCTCAACCGTCAGATCTTAAATGGCGCCTCCTCAGCGAAGCCCTTCCCCTGCACCTGGCTGAAGGTGGGTCCTCCGGTTGGTCTCCATCCCAGCTCCCCTAGTTCCTTCAGCGGGCTCCGTGCAAGTTGTCATCATGTGTACATGTGTACTGGCGGCCTCCTGGGAGGATGTCGGCTCTGTGAGAGCGGGAACCTTGCTCCCTTAGTTCACCTGTGTGTGTCCAGTGTCTACTACTATACCTGGCAAGTTATAGGAACACGGACGTATTGTAGAATGATTAATTTTACTGTGTACTTTCTCAGTGGTCATCCCTGTTATGCAGGAGCTCTTGGTTTTGTGTATTTATTTTGTATCCGGCCACATTCTTGAATTCTCTCATTAGTTCTGAGTGCTTTTCTGTTAGCCCATTTGGAAATTCTGGATATATAGTGATATCTTAAGTAAATATTAACTCTGCCCTCTCCTTTCCTAAAGTTATACAACTTACTTCTGTTTCCTGCCTTATCACTTTGGCAACATACAGTTAGTTGTTTTAAAGATGGTGTGACTGATGAAAATTATGATGCTCTGGAAGGTTCGGGACACAAAGGGACTAAGGGCAGGACCATAGCCAAGGAGCTGCAGCAATTATTTGAGTGTGGTGTGACAATGGCCTGGATAGGATGAGAGCTAAGGACATAGGAAGGAAAGAGTGCAGCTGAGAATTAGTAAAAAACGATTGGTGGCCCCTGGTAATCACAATAGGCAGCAGCAGGAAGAAAAATTCCCCAAACTCCTGTCTGTATCAGAATATCTAATGCTTTGGCTCCCAGACAACTTAACCCCATAGATTAAGAAAATATCCACATTTCTAAACAGGGAGAGAACTGATATAGCCAACTGTTTATTTTGTCAAGTACCTATTTTTAACTAAATACTACCATAATCATTTTTTAAGAACCAAAAAATTGGGGAAGACATAACCTAGAAACAAACAACAGCCTTATGAAAAAGAAGAGAAGAAAGGAAATTATTGGAATTCTCATTTTAGAAACAGTTCTGAGTATGTGAATTCAAGAAAAAAAAACTAGCAGGTATGTCTCTCTGTTCTGACACTTAATCTGACTATATCCAAAATATTTTATAATACAGCACCTTTACATATGTGTTGTCACTTAATCCCCCTAACAGCACCGTGTACGGGTAATAATAGAAGTGCTAAACATGTATCTGGCATGCCACCATTTTGCAATGCAGTCCCCCCTTTGATGCCTACATTCCCTTACATGTCACCTTGCAATTTACACCCCATCAAACCCCCTCCTCCTCCACTTCCCAACCTCACTGAGCTATTACTCACTTTCAGGTTTTCGCACCGACCACCATCCCTGTCTAGTTTACTTGGAAAAATCCTGTTCATCAAAAAAACCCCACTCAGGCAGAAAATAACTTTCATTCTCTTCCTAGTGGGGGTAGCGAGGGTCTGTCCATAGGCAATGGCGGTCCTCAAAAGGGGGCACTGAAGCCTGGTGTGTGAGGTGGGGACACATCCTCAGATGCCACATGGAAACCACATGCCTTAAGGCACGGGTTCCCCAAGACCAACCTCTGTGAGCCTCAGTTTCCTCATATATACAACCTCAAAGGTTCTATTATAAATTACCAACAAATATTAATTGAGTGTCTACTACATACCAGACCAAACACTGCCAGTGCCTGGCATACAGTAGAGGCTCAACCTCAGAAAAGCAGGACTCAGGAAGGGGGCAGAGCCAATGCCAAATTTTCCCTCTAATTAATATAAGGAGCTAATAGCCAAACTGTGTCACCCCTATGAGATTTTTTCTTAAGAAATCTCTCTTTCTCTCTCTGTCTGTCTCTGTACTTGCTTGTGGGCACTTCACGGATATGTAGCCAACTTGTCAAGAAGGGATCCCTTTTGCCTGAATTACAAGTAAATTGACACATTTCAAGCTGCTGTGGTGGAAGTGAGGCCTCAAGACAGACGTCTGCATTAAAGATGACGGCCATCCCTGTGTAATTAGAGATATAGCAGTCTCTGGATTTTACACTCTCCTCTTTGATCCAGAGAAAGAGAAAAGCTGGATGCTTCCACAGGAGATTTGGAATTATGGATAGGGAAACTGGACAATAAGGGGTGATATTTTCTTTTAATCACTGCATTTATCCAAAGTATCTTTAACAAGTACATATTGGTCTTTTAAAATATCTTTTTATGATACAAGCTCATTGAAAATCAGAAACTCAAACATAATTCCTTTTATAGGAGGGGAACTGTTTTTTTCTATCAGGCCAAAAACATTTGCACGTGTCAACGTATATTTTGTGACTCAGTAGCACTTTACCTCTATACCCCAATTTACAAACATCATTTCCAATCCTTACAACCCTGTGTACAGGTTCATTTATTAATGTTTCCATCTCACAAATGAGGAGACTTAGGCTCAGGAAGTCAGCTAGCCCACCCAGAGCTGCACAGTAACAGGCGGCCAAGGTTCTTCTAACGCCAAAACCCTTGCCTTCAACTGTGTCCATGGGGACGAGTGAGATTGTGGTCCCAGCTCTGACCAACTCCCCCACCCACCTCTACAGCCTCAATGTACTCGGAGATCCAGAGGGAGCGGGCAGACATCGGAGGCCTGATGGCCAGGCCCGAGTACAGAGAGTGGAACCCGGAGCTCATCAAGCCCAAGAAGCTGCTGAACCCCGTGAAGGCCTCCCGGAGCCACCAGGAGCTACACCGAGAGCTGCTCATGAACCACAGAAGGTGGGAAAGGAGCTCGGCTGCCTCACCCAAGCGCCTCCTCATGCCTGCTGGGGCTTGGGGAGGTGCCCCTCGTGGAAGGCAGGCCAGGCAGTTATCCTGGGGCTCCTGGAGACTTGAGGAAGGCTGAGGGTGCCCCACGTGGTCACCAGCAGAAATTACGAAGGCCCAAAAGCCCTGTTCTCCTACCCAGCTACCCACTTTGTGCCTGTCCTCCACATACGTTTACTGAGCACCTACTATGTGCCAGGCACTGTGCCAGACCTGGGGATACAAGAAGAAATGTTCCTGCCCTAACAGAGGAAATGGATGCATAACCAGGTGGTATGATGGGTGCTTTGAGGGGTTATGTTCCCAGCAGATGGATGAGCATTTACAAACGGACAGGAAACTGAGCAGCTCAGTGTGGCTGGGGCACAGACTGTGAGGCAGGCCAGAGGAGATGTGTGGACCTGGGAAGAGTCACAAGTCCTGGTGTCACAATCCTAGAGGAGGCGTCAGTGGAGCAGGCAGGCTAGGGATGCAGTGAGAGAGACAGGCGGCAACTGAGGAAATGTAGAGGCGAGCGAGGGAAGCGGAGTCTCCCTCCCCTCCCAGGCCTGGGAAATAACCGCCCAGCTCACCAATTCCAGGACGAAGGCAGCGGCGCCTTCGCAGTGCCCTCTACTGGCCGTTGCTAGTATTGGCGCGGGCTGTGATTTTCATTCTTGTTTTCAGCTGTGCCACAACAGGTAACATTTGGTATCCTTGGTGTTGTCTGTTTTGTTTTTTTCCACTTTATATCATGAGAATTTCTCTGATTGCCTTTTAGAGTCATCACTTTTAATGTCAAAAAACCTCACCACAATTTTTAAAAAGCCTAAAGACAAATCAGGGGAAATGTTTGCAATATAAATAACAGATAAAAATTAATATATACACATCTCTTATAAATTCATAGGGAGAAAAAAATGAACAAAAGATAGGTATAGTTAGTTCACAAAAGAAGAAATGCAAATAGCTGGTAAACATCTCAAAAGATGTTTGATGTGACTGATAATCAAACAAATGAAAACCAGATATTATTTCTTGCCTACCAGAGTCTCTGTTAATACAAAAGGATTGGATGGTGACAGTGGGGAGAAATAGATGCCCTGTACACTGCTGACAGAAGTATAAGTTGGATAACCTTTTCTAAGAGGGGACAGATGGGAATATGTGTCCAAAATTGTTTAAAAGAGCCTGACCCAGCAGTTCCACCTCTAGAAAACATATCCTGAGAAAATAGCCTCAAATAACATAAAACCTGGTCTCCGCAGTCAGACAGGCCTGGGTGCAAATTCACATTCAGGCCCTTCAAGGCGGTGACTTGGACTGGTGTCTTAAGTCCTAGGAGCCTCACTTCCCTTCTCTGTATAATGGGACAGTAATGGTTCCACCTCCCGGGGCTGCCAGGAGGATTGCATGAGATAATGGTGCAGCCCTGAGACAGGGGCGAGGGAAGCTGGGGTCTCCTGACAGCTCCCCCCACCCCAGGGGCCTGGGCGTGGACAGCAAGCCGGAGCTGCAGCGTGTCCTGGAGCACCGCCGGCGAAACCAGATCATCAAGAAGAAGATGGAGGAGCTGGAGGCCAAGCGGCTACAGTGCCCCTTTGAGCAGGAGCTGCTGAGACGGCAGCAGAGGCTGAACCAGGTGGGTGGGGGGGTCACCTAGCGCCAGCCCGCCCCTCCTCCAAGAATGCTCCTGGCCCAGGGAAGGGCTCTGCTTGTGGCGCAGCTGGCAAGAGGGAGGAGGCTGAGCAAAATGAGGCCTAGACCACGAGTCCACAACTGGCCTGAGTCCTCACTCTGCCACTCACTTCATTGTGTGACTCTGGGCCATTGGCGTCCCCTCTCTGAGCCTGTTTCCTGGCTGGCCCAATCTATGGCATATTGATTTTGATTTCATTCTCACACCTGCCCTGTGAATCAGATGGCATTCTCATTTTAGAGATGAGAAACCTGAGGCCCAGATGAGGCACACAATTTGAACTAGGCTTCACAGGGAGCATTTAGTCTCATGCCCTGTCCCCTCAGCTACCAGGCCGGTGGCAAAACTGATCCCTGGTTTTGTTTCCCCAGAGAGGACCCTTGGTCCAAACCCAGTGGCTTTTGAGACTCAGAAGTCCCCTAACCCCACCCCCTTCACACCTCTGCTTCTCTCTCCTTCAGCTGGAAAAACCACCCGAAAAGGAAGAGGACCGTGCCCCCGAATTTATTAAAGTCAGGGAAAACCTGCGGAGAATCACCACGCTGACCAGTGAAGAAAGAGTGCTGTAGAGCTGCCTGTTGGAGATCCAGGCCCCCCACAGCCCCCCCTTGGCCCCCACACCCTCCTGCAGTGCTTCTGTATCTGGCAGCCCTGGGCCTTGGGACATCTGTGATGTTCACGCTGGCTCCTGTAAAAATGCATGCTCCAGAGAGCCTACCCGTCCAACTACTCCCACACCCCCAAAGTGGGGGGTCCCCAAGCTCCCAAGACTTTCCTTCTGAGCTCTCATCCTTCCTGTTCCAAGAGGAAGCCACTGCTGGGAAAACTTTCACAAGGCACCTCTCCCTGAAGGGGCTTCGAGTCCTGATGAGGGTTTTCTAGAAGAGCTGAGAAGGAGGGACAGGGGCCTCCCTGGTCTGACAAGCCCTCCATTCTGCCCAGCCCCATGGGCCCTGCTTCTCTGGTCTCACAGGTCTCAGAGAACTCCCCTGCCCATGCTTTTACCTGCAGCCAGGTTTGGGGCAACTAAGGGGAGCATCTCGGGGCACCTGCCTTGAAAGCCAACCAAGGGGATAATGGTTCAAGTGCAGCTGTGCTTGAAGAAGGACAAGACAGCCCACAGGTGGCCTTGTGGCTCACACCATGCCAGGTGGGAAGAGCACTAACAAAGACAGCTTCTTAGAGTTTGCCAGCCTTACCCCCACACCCATGCTTTTACAGTCTTTTCTCCTCTCCACAGCCCTCCCTGTCTGGACCTTGTAACTATGCCTAGCCAGGGCTGCAGCCTTCCTGCTCCCAGAAGTGTAGAACAGTGCTTCTCAAACTTTATCGTGCCTGCAAGTCACTAGGGATCTTGTTAAATTAAGGCTTCTGATTCAGTAGACCTGTGACGGGGGCTGAGCTTCTGCAGTTCTAATAAGCTCCTCGGCTCCTGGTCTGAGGACCACATTCTAAGTAGCAAGGCTAGAGCATCCAAGAATGCTAAGTATTGGAAACATCATCCCTAAAACCATCTCTGCTCCCCAACTCCCATGGACCTCAGCCCTGGGGGTTCCCACCCACCTCTGCAGGCCCCCGGGCTCTTAATTATCCAGCCCATCCCAGGGACCCCAGGCCTGAGAAGACTTTTAACATCTACAAAATTGTGTCAGGTATGTGATTGTGGTTTTCAACAGAGATGTATATATTTGCCAATCTGCATTTCTTACCACGCTGTTGTGATGCAATTCTAGCCAAAAAAAAAAAAGAAGGTGGTTTTTTTTTGTTTCTTGTTTTATTACCTTTTTCTAAAGCCTGTGGAGAGCAAATACACAGTGCTGTCAATAGGCTTCTGGAAACACAAACAAATGGTTTGAAGGCCCCACTGCCACTCCTTTGAGTCCCCATTTTCAGCCTCTGAACCTAAGACCCACTCCCTACCTTGTTTCTGCCACTTGGGTCAGCTCCAGTGACTTCACCCATTTTTCCCTCAAAAATCCCCCCGTGCAATACCAAATGTTTTAATCTTTTGCTCCTATCACATTTTTAAAGATTTAGAGAATAAACAAGGCCTGTTTCTTTTTCCCCTGAAGAATAAGACCCCTGCCTTTGGCTTTGTAAACCTGTCGTTTAAGGTGACAGGGCAGGGCTGGAAAAACATTTTACACACACACACACACACACACACACACACACCCTGCCCAAACTGCCAGAAAGAACTGCCACTGGGATGCAGTTTGATTCTTGGACCAAACGCGGGACTTACAAGAGGAATGAGGTCATGCTGGTCTTCCACCTCATTGGGTGTGAGGGTGACCGAAGATGTTGTCCCTTTCCTGTGTGTGGTGCCAGTGTAGGGGTGTAAATAGAGACATGCTGCGTGTGTGTGTGTGTGTAAGCAGAGCTCTAAAAGGCTCTCAAAGGTGACTGTCTTACTGAGAATGTGGTACTGCCATTTTAAATGACTGCCAGGCGAGAGTGATGCTAGTGACGCACCATCCCTAAGAAAGAGCACCGCTTCCCCAAAGAAGCTGCCTCAGCGGTCTGTGTGTCGTTCAGACATGTGAAGAGAAGCAAGGCAGAGTGTCTAGGCTGGAGTAGGTCCCTCCAAGGGAATGCTTGGGATTTCACTCAGTCGTCGCAGGGTGCACCATGGAGGCAGCAAGTCACAGAGACAAAGCTCCAGAAGTAGAAGGGAACTCAAGTACCACGTTGTCCAGTGGAGCCATGGCAGACACGCTTGTTCACTCCCCGGTGGTCAGTCCCAACTCCTCTCTAAACTGTAGGGGTTGCAAATCCAGGTTCTCACTGTTTCAGCCCCCTTTGCAGCTTGGGGTGAGCATGTGACCAGGTATGGCCAGTGAAATTTAAGAGGCAGTCTACAGGGACTTCTGGGAAAGCTTCTGCTCTTCTGACAAAAGAGAGAGACATGGATAACACCTCTCTGCCCCTCCCTTCTTCCTGCCTTGATTGAGGATGTGATGCCTGGAGCCACAGCAACCATCTTGCTTCAATGAGGAAAAGGCCAAGAGAATCTGAAAGACATTGACTCTATCTAATCTTTTGACCAAGCCAATGCCAGCAGCCATCCTCCTCCAGAATTTCTGTAAATAAAAATAAAGCCCTTTTCGTTTAAGCCGTTGTTTTTCGGTCTCTGTTACTTGCAGACAAAAAAATTCCTAAATGACACAGAAAGTCAGCCCTGCTGCCTAAAATTACCTGCAGCCTGTACTGAAAACCCAGAATCCTCTTTTCCATCAGAAACCTATCGGATCAGGATCCCCAGCAGCAGTGCCTGGGATCTGTTTTTCTGTACTTCTCCATATAGCCTACATGGCACCAGTCTGAAGGCTGGTATTTAGACACCACTAGTCCACACATCATTCAATAAACATTTGTTGAGTGTCTGCTCTGTGCCAGGAAGCATGCCATGTGCTGGGGGCACGGTAGGAAACAAAACATCTGGACTATTGACGTGGCCTCCTCCTCACTGGCCTTGCTTCTGCCCCTGCCCCATACAGTCTGTTCTCAACAGAGCAGCCAAATGATCCTGTTAAAATCTCAGGCACATCTTGCCACTCCTCTGCACAGAGGCCTCCACTGGCTCCCAGGAGGGTCCTTCCTGCGACCTACAAGTTCCTCTATGGCCAGCTCCCTCTTTACCTCTGACCTAGTTCCCACCGCTCGCCCCCTCACTCAGGCAGCTCCAGCCAGCCTGGCCTCCTCACAATCCCCAAGCACGCCCCAGTGCCTTTTCACCTGCTATTCCATGGCCAGGAGTGGCCTTCCCTCAGAGAGCCACACAGCCCACTCCCTCACTTCCTTCAGGTCATTTTTCATGCTCTTGCTAAACGAGGTACACCTGAGTCACCCCATCTAAAATCTCAACATCTCCTACACACTTCCTATCCCTTCCTTCCCTGCCTTCTTTTTCCTCCTTACTATTATATTTATCACCATCTAACATATTATGTATTTTACTTATTGATTGTGTGTCTCTCCTAACAATGTCAGCACCATGAGGGCAGAGCTTTCTGTCTATTCCCTAATGGCCTTCCTGCTTCCTCATTTCCAGCCAGCAGGTGGCTCGGCGCATGTAAATCTGGCAGAGTGGCCCCCGAGGGGCAAGAAGCCCCGCCCAGCCCACTCACAGCTTTGAGAAAAGGCAATGGCCAAATAGGGCATCGGGCACGTAACAGGCGCTCAATCAGTGTTTGTTAAGTGAGCGAGTGAGCGAGTGAGAGACTCCTTCTCCCCTTTCTTGGGCTGCAATACACCCAGCCTCCTCCCAGGTCCAGCCCCTCCATCCCCGTCACCCACCTGCCTCCTGCCTCCACAATTTTGACCCTGGCCCACAGATGCCAGTTTAGTTCAGAAGCTTTCCTTTGGCCTCTTGGGCTTTCACCAGAACACCTGGGCCCCACTGGCTCCTACACACCCTCTCCGGGCCACCACCCAGCCCTGGAGACCGTGGAGAAGAAAAGGGCGGCTGCAGGGGCTCTGACATCAGACTCTGCTCTACACGGGGAGCCAGGAGCAGCAAGCGCCATTCTTACAGTCTCACACTCATCAGGCCACAGATCCTGGTCTAGGTTTGGAGAGCACCTCTTCAACGGCAGACCAGTACTAAATAGGAAACCTGGGAGAGAGGGAGGCCTTAGGAGGCAGAGGGACTCTCCCACCCTTGTTCTGCAGTGTATGCTCCTGGGGAGCCCTCAGATCCCAGTAGTGTTTGCAGGGCACCCTGCCACACTTGATATTATGCTAATTCCTAGCCCCGTGAGGGCAGGGGCCCTGTCTGATTCTGCTCACTCTTACCAGGCCCCACCCAGGGCTCTACATGTAGTAGATGTTCAAAAAGGTTGTGAATGGGTGTCAGTAATGACCACTGCACTTATGGAAGGCCAGCAATGTCACCACCCATGACAATTCAGTATCCTCATCCCCATTTTGCAGATGAAGTAACCAAAGCTCAGATAAATTTAAATTAAGGGACTTGACAAATCACAAAAATTCCTGTGGAGAGATGACATTCGCACAGAGCTGTCTGTCTGCAATGCACACATGTTTTTCTATTATAGCCAGGCCTTGATCTTAGAAGAGGCTCCTAGGAGGCTCTTGTGCCATCCTGACCTTTTGCCAAAAGTTTCGGGAACTTATTTCACCTTCCATTTGTCATTTGTCCATCTGAACTTAAGAGGTCTGACTTCCACCTATAAAAATAGACTCAGGCCAACATAGCCCTTCATGAATCCTGGAGTGAGGACCATCTATACACACTGCCATGGCCCCAACCCCGATGTCACGGCCCCACCCCCAAAGCCACCAGTTTCTGGAGCCAACCAACAGATTAGACTCTACCAGTGCTGTGGCAGGCCTGGATCTATAGCTGAGCAGTGGCCTAAGTGATTGATGTTTCAGTGCCCCAAAGACCCACCAACCCCCAACCACCTTGCTCCCACCAGGGCTTTACCTTACGGTGCCCCTTTTGCTGGGCTGCACAAGAACACAGCCTTCACCTCCCCAGTGGTTATTGCCCTCATCTCAGCCTGTCGCAATTATTTCAGTTGATCATCAGCCGACTCTCACCCAGAGAAGACACGGGGTTGGGCTTTTCCCCCAAAACTGGCCCTCTCCTTAAGTGAGCCTATCTACTTCCCAGAAAGGACTTTAGAGAGACGAGTAGCGTTGCCCAGTCAGGGACCGCGGCAGCTCTCCTGGGCTGCCTGGCAACAGCTAAGTGAGCCGGGGGTCACCCTCCAAGGAAGGGTTTCCCAGGGGACCAGGCCACTGCAGCTCACACTTTGGGGCACCTGATCTAAAATGCTCATTCTGGGCAGCCAGTTAGCTCAGCTGGTTACAGCACAGTGCTCATAACACCAAGGTTGCCGGTTCGATCCCCACATGGGCCACTGAGCTGCGCCCTCCACAGCTAGATTGAAACAGCTACATGACTTGGAGCTGATGGGTCCTGGGAAAACACACTGTTCACCAATAAGATAAAATGTTTAAAATGTTCATTCCCCCAGCAAAGCCAGTGTTTGGCTTGTTCTGTTCCCAGGCCTGGATTCAAGCCCCAACTCTGCCAGTCAGTATCTGTCATGAACATGGGCAACTTGCTGGGCCACATTTTCCAGATCTATGATACAGATGATGATATCTATATTTATTGAGTATTAGTGTCTTGCCAGGGACTGGACTTCATACTTTATATGAATTCTCTCATTTACTCCCCCGGGACTGTCATTACCTCCATGTTACAGGTGAAGAATTCAAAGTGTAGAGAGGCAAAGCCACTACCCAAAGGCACAGCCAGTAGGTGGTGGAAGCGAGACGTGAACCCACACCTTCCTGACTGTAGCCTACATATTTATTCTGGCGGCATTTGCTGCTAGAGCCTCCAGGAGGATGTTTTGCAAAGCACCCACATTGGAGCTTTCCCATCTGTCACCAGAAACATTCCACAAGCTCGCCGAGACCAAATGGCCTTCCTCCTGCCTCCTTCCTCGCCGCAGGTGGCCTGGCCCACACCAGTCTGGCAGAGTGGGCCCCGGGGACAAAACTTCCAGCCCCACCCCACTCACGGCTCTGAGAATAGACAGTGGCCGAGTGGGACGTACGGGTCCCATGCCTGCCCGTGGCCAGGAAGTCTGGGGAAGTGGCAGCAAGGAGAGAAGCAGGCACGGAGCACCTACTATGCCCAGCAGGTCCAGAAACGGGAGAGAACATACAAAGGGCCTAGCCCAGGCCTGGCACATTTCAAAGGATGGAAGTTCCTTCTCCTTCTTTCTCTCTCCCCTTTAAAGATATCTTGACAGTGGACAGCATGGCTGTAAAGAGCCCAGGCTACAAAGTCGGACAGACTTTAGATTTGGGGGTGGAGTGGAACGGCCCGCTCTGCCATTCACCAGGTGGGTGACCTCTGACAAGTTACTTAACGTCTCTGAGTTTGTTGTCTGTAAAATGAGGCTCCGGTTGCACCAGCATCGCAGGTTGTTGAGCAGCCTGAGTCAGCAAACATCAAATATTTGGCAAGTACTGGGCACATGGCCAACCCTCAATAGAAGTTAATTATCATCTTCCCTTTCCTCAGCAGTTTCATTCGGCCATATCTGTCACTGACCTGACCCCTCCAAGTCCTATTTCCACTTGTTTATTTCTCGTAGGCCCTAAGCTTGTCTGGCATCCATCCGTCCCTCGTGGCTGGTCACCCCCAAACCCTCTGCCCTTCTCGCAGTCCTCGTTTTTGGGGGAGGTGTCACCCCATCCTTCCTCACACACCATACCTCCTCCATCCCCATATTATCCACTCCTTTGACTGTCCACCCCTCGTCCCAGGGAGCAGAACAACCCCGCCCAAAGCATATGAGTTCCTCACAGAAAGAAGGATTTTCTTTTTTAAAAAATTTTCCACTTATAGTTGACATACAATATTATATTAGTTTCAAATGTACAATATAGTGAGTAGACATTTATATGCCTCACAAACTGATCACTCCAAAAAGTCTAGTAATCATCTGTCACCACACAGCTCTTACAGTATTACTGACTATATTTTCTATGCTGTACTTTACATCCCCATGACTATTTTTATAACTGGAAATGTGTATTTCTTAATCTGAAAGAAGAATTTTCTAAACAAAATAAGGGGAAGGGTTGCTGAGCAGGCAACAACAATCAATGTTCACTACAGAAATTCATCTGAAAGAATAAGCACGTAGGAATGCCAAGGGGAGGAAATTGAAGAAATTACAGAGAGAGAGAGAGACAGGGAGAAAGAGAGAGAGAGAGAGAGAGAGAGAGAGAGAGAGAGAGAGAGAGAGAGAGAGAGAGAGAAAGAGAGAGAAATGATGGGCTCAACTCTACCAAATTTTAAAATTTCAAAACATAACAAAAGGATAATTATAAAACTATATGATATCAAGATAAGGCAGAAATAATGAATCACCAACACAAAACTGTTATTTCCAAAATAGAATCAAGCAAATATAAGAAGTTAATATATGAGGTACTAAGATTAACACAATACTACTCAACATTTATTCATGCATTCAGCAAATGAATTTGTTCTAGAAAGATAACAATAAATGTCTCTATAAGAGAATAGCAATATAAAAGAAAGCATTAATTTAGATC